AGTCAGTAATCATTATTATCATTATTATTATCATTATCTTCATCTTTGTCAATATTATTATCATTATCATTATATTATAATTCTTAATTTTGGATGATAATGATTTATTTATTATTATTATCTTTTATGGTTATTATCCTTACATCAGCATTGTGTTTTGTTGGGGGTTTTTTGATTTGTTGCTTTGTTCTTCTTAACTATCATTATTGTTATTATCATTATTATTATTATTATCAGTAGTATGAGTAGAACTGATCCTAACATTATATTTATTTATTCCATTATCATACTAATATTAATATTATTATCATTATTATTTTTATAATAATTATTAATATTAATATTATTATCATTATTATTTTTATAGTAATATTAATTAACATCATATCAAAATTATTAGCTTTACTAATAATGATAAAATTTTATTATTATTTTCATCATTTTCATCATCATCACTTTTATTTTTTATCATTATTACTAGAATGTCATTATCATCTGCATATGATAATGACACTGTTATTGTTATTATTATTATTATTATGATTATTGTGATGATTAATAATATAATGATGATAATCGTAGTAATGATAATAATAATAATAACATAATTATAGTAATAACAATAATAATAGTAATAACGATAATAATGAAAAAAACCATCATAGCAAAGTAATAATAATGGTAATGATTACAATAAAAATACACAATAATAATAAAATAAAATAATATAATAATATAATAATAACAATAACATAATGATAATACTAACAATAATCACAACAATGATGATAATAACAACCAAGAAAAAAAAATAATAATATAACAATAGTGATAGTAATAATAATAATAATGATAATAATAACAATGATAAAATAATAAAAACAAAAAGTAAAAACAAAGGCAATAGGAAACAAGGAATGATGATATTAAGGTTGAGCCCAAATAAAAAAGCAATACTATAATGATAAGAATGATAATAGTAACAAAACTATGAATGAATGATCTATTTATTGAATAAGGATTCATATGCTGTATTACACTTATTCATTATTCATTAGTCATATATTCATTACTGTATGTGATTATCATAATAACATTTCATTATGACTCTCTTTTAATAAACCGCAAGTCATGACGGTATACAAGTAGGAACTGTGCAGGTAAGAAATCTGAAATTTCTGCATTAACTTCCAGCAAATGCAGGATCAGGATGTCTTAATGGCTGGCTTAATAAGATCTGAAACTAATAATAATAGGAAATTCAATCATTCAGGTGTCATTAAGCTTCTTGTTCTACGAATGCTGAAGTGTTTATTAGCTTTATGTTCATCATTACTTACTCTTTCCTTTCTTGGATGTAGGTTTATATGCATTGGGCACCAGCAAGTAAACTCATTAAGGACATTAAAGTTTAATATTTTATTCAAAAATATGGAATCATAATTTTTCAAGTGATTATGACTAACATATTAGCTCTTTTAAATATATAAACTTATCATTCAAAATACAAAATCAGATTAAACTAATAATGTGTAACTACCAAGGCAAATGTTATTATAATCCTAGGTAATTAGATTTACCATTCAGAGTGAATTTCTTTGCATGCCTATCATTCAATACACCAAAAGGCAAAAATATTATAATTTGTACAAATCCATCTTTTATATAACCACACTAAACACATTTTTTAAGAAAATAAATAAATTCAGGAGTCTCATATACTCATCTTATCTACAAATTTGATTCTGCTACTTAAAATACTCAACATTTCATCATTCCAAATTAAATTACAAAGTCATCCCTATTATACCACTTAGAGATCCATTAGTTATTTCAGCTTATTCAGTTATTCACTCATTCTCCTGGAGGAGAACTTCCTTTTGAACAAGTATCGCTACAACCAGAATGTTTTGTTGTGTGTATTTTCTTCGTTTTGAATCAGATAGATGCCTCATATTTTTTTCGATTCTCTCCTAAGGTGATTATGATAGCTTCAGACCCATTGAGGTAGAAGCATCATACTGTATAATACAGGTCTTCCAGTACACTCTTCTGAGTGATAGGGTAAAATCCCCCAATTATCCAACAGTAAAACTGGCTTTCAGACTCATAATTTTTGTTCTAAAGCAACCTTTCTACACGCTGCTGAGAGGCATCCAGAAGCATGAGAAGAATCTATATTCCTAAACCTCTGAAATTGCATTTGATTCAGCGGCTTTTAAATCAGTTGGGAGGTTTAGTGCCTCTGATAAACTTTCTGGAGTCATCTCTTTACTTTCGATTCAGCAGATGTCCTCTATCATTATATCAGGCATGTAGGGGATATCAATTGTGCTTCTGTACCCACAAGAGCAACCTTGTACTTTAGCCTTTCAGGATGACCTCTTGGGTGCTGCTCATCTTCAAACTTCAGAGCACAAATGTTGTGGTGTAAGGACCAGCCAATAGGCAGGTGTTGGTGGTTTCATTGATGAGAGAAAATGCTTCCGCCATCTCTGAATTAAATTGTAGCAGCCCCAACTTTTTCTAAGCTTCCTACACTTTGTGGCCATGGGATTGAGAAGCCTTATTCCTGATTTGGTGTCGGTCTTCAGCCATCTCTCTGAGCTGTGTTCCACTTATGAAATCAGTCTCCAAGTAACTCCTTAAGTATATTCTCTAATTACAGCACCGTTCTCAGGATGTTTGCCCTATTGGCCAAACCAGAGCTTTAGCAGCATTTGTCCAGTAATGTGAGGTCTGTCCACACTGGTTTTTGCTATGTTCATTGCCAAAGGGGCATCAAACTCCTTTGCCAGAATGTAACGAAACACTTTATGCCCCAATGTTGCTTTTTTGTGGCAGTCCAAACAAAGCAACACACATCAGACTCTGGTGGTTTTTCAGTATGTCTGGGAAAATGTTGCGGTATTCAAGGGGAAACACTTGTTCTTCTGATGTAATTTCACCCCTTCCCACATTACTACACAGACATTCAAACGTGCTTGAAGGTAGAACCTACTATCACCCTGTCAGCTAAGTGTCGTCCAGAAGTTCAAAGTTCGTCTCGGAATAACAAGGGATCTTCACTCACAACTTCTGCTATTGCCCTTTTCCAATACCCAGAGAGCTTTCCTTGGTCACACAACAGAGCAACTCATTGTCAGGAGCTCTCTCTGGCTGTAGTAATAGGAGTGGGGTCCTCTGCGCGCCCAAATGTGGTGTAGGCTGACTTCAGTTTCGCACAAGAAGCAGTTCTGTCCACCTTCGTTTGATCATGTGAAAGATGTTACATGGACAATGGCGTTTCAAGCTCAAATATAAATGAATACAAAACAAGACAGAGGTAAAAAAATAAGAGATAATGATAAATATGCAAAGAATCAGAGAGCATTAGTAAGGGGTGGACATAAAACAAAAATTTAATCATGTTCCGTTTATGGAGTAGAGATGCAATGTAATGGCCAAATATGTTACTGCTGTATGATAGATATCTTAAACATGGTCATCTGAAAGTCATACTGATTGAATAGATTACTAGCACCAAGATTCATGAATAACCACAAGGGTGCTTTCCTGTGTCATTATATATCTTTAGTAAGGGACTTTAGTGTTTCCCCATGTTAGAACAGCATATCCAGTCTGTCTGATTTTGTGATCGTTGTATGACATTATCATTATAGTAGGTGATGTTGGTCAATAAATGATTTTAAATCTCTAACACAAGAGTGCAATGCTGTCAGAAATAGATTTCAGAAACTAAGATGAGACTTATCCAGACCACATACTTCACTGGGTATATTAGTTAAAATCACTGGGTTTCAGTGGCTGGGTGGAAGCACTTTACTCGCTATTGTTCCAGAGGATTATATACTCTATGATGACAGCAGGTTTATAGGATTGGAAGGATTGATTAGAATAAAAGCAAGTAAATTTGGGGGAAAACTACAGCGGTTATGGGACTCCTAACAAAAACTCAGACTTTAGGGTTAATATATCTTGTCTCATTAATCATTTCATGTTTGCCAACCATTTGTGTATATCTAAAATTATCAAAATGTTACCCTACTACAAAACTTCGCCTAGTGCATTTTTATCAAATGAAACTCAGTACTCATACATCAAACAATATATTTTTTTTTACTTCAGATATTACCATACAAACAGTAGATAGATAATCTGATTGAACCAAGTCAAGAGAAATGTCACAAATATGAAAACTCCACATTAGGAAAAGTAGCAATCCTCACTCAACACAAAAAGAGTCTTACATCGCTGACAGAAAGAGCAGTATGACAAACCTCCTCTTCAGGAGGTTGGTCTCTCTGCTTTGTGATTCAGTTGAACTTGAGGCGTGAGTCTACCTTTTTCATGGAGGACTGTATGGAATATCAAAGTTCCCCTTCTGTGCCAACCAATGCAATTTTGACTTCATGGGCTCTGGGTGATCTGGTGGGAAGTGACTTGCTTATGAGCTCATCTTGAAGAAGTTATGTGTGACAGACCAGCCCTCTGGCCTATGCTGTGCTTCCTGGGAGGACAGAAAGTGCTCACGCCACCTCTGCTCTAACTTCATCACACCAATTTCTCATAACCTTCATAGACCTTATGTCCATGTGATGGTATTCATCATTCCATCTGATGCCATTTTAACTACGTCTTCAGAAAATCATTCATCCAACTCTTATATGGAAATAATCTTTGGATTATTTGTCTAAAACAGTCAATCGCTCTTCAGGTATGTTGTCTTTGTATTTACTAATGTGAGTGGCTGCATCCTTTACCTATTTTCCGGGACCTGGTCAAATGCTGACTTTGACATCTTGTTCTGTTCCAATAGGGGACTAAACTCCTGCTACCTGGTGTCGATTGATGATCATTGAAGGGTGCTAAGCTGTGTGGCACTCAATGCACAAGAGCACAACATTTCATGGCTGTTGTTTTTTTGTTTTCCTTTATAATGCTATGTCAGTTAGGTAAATACTTCCGTTGGTATGCATTGAGAACAAAGTTCTTCTGAAATGGATTGGTCCTTGCCACATGCCACACAGATATTGTGTGCCCTGAAGATAGAACCTAAGCCATACTTCCCTCTCCACTGGGTCGGCCGAGGGCTAGAAGGTCAGCCTCACCACCAGGGATTCAGAGGCCACAACCCCAAGGCCCTTTCCATACCACCATGCATTTTTTGGGGTTCACAAACACACATGGGTTGATCATCGGGGGCCTAAGCTGGAGTTGTGGTAGAGGGGGCCCTTGCGGGTGGTGAAAGCCCTGTCAGAGGCTTCACTTCTGGGAAATGGCTGGTGCCCAGATCTACTTGATCCTGTAGGAGATTTGATAAAGAGGCTTTTTTAAGAATGAAGCAAGGAAACAGATCCGGAGAAAAGTTAATAGGCACAGAACAAAATAATTTTCAAATGTGCAAATTCCTTAGCCTTGTGAGAACTAGTGAACTTGATTCTGCGTGTTCATTCTGGATCAATTTAATTTTGTATGTGATTATAGTGCAACACAATTGCCAAAGCCAAAACATTTCACACTATGATTGTGTACAATGCATACTATGTCTGACTGCTAGAAATGGGCAGAAAAAGAGGAGCGTTGGTTCAATTAATAAACTTACATTTGAATGGTTCATAAGAGAAGATTCTGAAATCACTGCAGTCCATTTCAGTTTGATAAAATAGAATAAAAATCTGTGTAAATGTGTATAAAACCTAAAAAGGACTATAGCGCTTTCACTCAAAAAAATGACACTTCAAAATATTAGTAAAATACCCAGTACTGCATTGCAGTGGCAAAGAGACTTAAAATGTCCAAAATTGAATCCTTGGAAGAATATTCTCTTTAGGATAATTGCACAACTCTTATATTTCCATAATTAGAGCATTATATTGCATTGATGTTTTTTATATTATTTGAATGTCAATGAATATAAATAATATAAAAGTCACAAAACTATACTATAATTACACATGTCATGTCCACTGCACACACG